ATATATACACACAAAAATATATATATTAATGGAATCCCCTCTCAACCTAACAAACCCAAGCCTCATTGTTTGGTCACCCTATGGATGCTTACTTTTTTGGTTACTCCAGAAAAGAGATCTCCATGCCATTAGTTCCCAGGATTTCATTTCATGTGTCTGGCCAAACACAGAGTTAATTAAAAATTCACCAGGGAATTAGGAGCCCTTTGTAACCACCAAGGCATTGTGCAGACCTGAGAACTCGCTCCCTCTCTTTCCCGAAAAAAGCTGCGGTATGCAAGTCACCAGTAAAAGAGCTACGCATCACTCATTCAGCCGGTGATAGCAGGCAGGTGAGCCTTTCACCTTCCTGCTGTGTCCTCCATAGTGATCCTGCCTCTGGCAAGCTCTTGCTAGTGGCAGGTTTGCAATTGTGACATCTGCCTTACTTCATTACTTTGAGTCACTAACTCAGAACAAGTATTCATCCTCTGACTTCTCTAAGCTGCATACTTGTTCATGGTCAGTGTTTCAGAAAGTATTGAAGCTAGGGGTTAGTACAGTAACACGACGGCCAGCAAAGATAGCCCTCATACTTCTCCCAGGATAGCTTTATTTTAAAGTGTGTGTCAAACCACAAATGCTTTTGGAAGCTTTGGATAGAGACGATAAGAATTAGAACTTCTGTTTTTCTTTGTTTTTTTGAGGCTCTATTATGGGGATTTACGCTCATTTCCTGTCCTATTGACTACAGTTTAATAGGCAGGAAAGGAAGACATGGAATTTACCCTTTCCCTACTCTACTAAAGAAAAACATTTGCTTTTCTGTCTCTGTTAGTGTTGGAAAGTTCCCTCACTTTCTGTCTGGTAAGACGTCAGCAGGACAGGAAATGAGGGTAAATCTCTCCTGTGCACCTCCATATAGGAATAAAACTTGACAGGGGTACTAACTCTTCCCCACTTTAGCCAAAACAAAGAAAACTTTTTAACTGAACATACCCTTCATAGGGTCTATTTATTAATTTGCAGAGCCGTTCGGCCCACAAATCTATGGGAACATTCATTCTGTGCAAAAACAAACATTCTTAGTATATTATCTTTTCAGGTTAAATGTTCTGTAATACTGCATTATGGCCAATAGATGGAGTGGAGGAGCATAGGAAAAAAACACTTATTCCCTATGATTGTCCACTCCATCTAGGGGCCATAATGCAGTATTGCATTACATTACAATCAACCTGAAAAGAATATACAGTATAATAATTATTATTGAGGATTTACAGAGCGCCAACAGTTTGTGTAGGCTTTACAATATAAGGATGACATTACAGTTACAA